TTCTTTCTTTTTTGGGTCACCCTGCCTCGGTGGGAGACGGCCGACTTGTTGAAAAAAAAAAAAAAAAAAAAAATTCAAGAAAACTGGTTATTTTTATATAGCCAGACTTGAGTCCTGGAAATGGGAAGTACAGTGCTTGCAGTCTAAAGGAGGGGTTTGGGATATTGGCAGTTTGGTGGGATATGTTGTGTATCTTTATACGTATATGCTTCTAAAATGTTGTGTTCTGAGCACCTCTGCAAAAACAGTGATTATGTGTGAGTGAGGTGAAAGTGTTGAATGATGATGAAAATATTTTCTTTTTGGGGATTTGCTTTATTTTTGGGTGACCCTGCCTCGGTGGGAGACAGCCGACTTGTTAAAAAAAAAAAAAAATGTTGGAAAGATCATTGATGTACAGTGGAACCCTGGATTTCGGCTGTAATCCTTTCCAGAAGGTCGGCCTAAATCCAAAATGGCCTAAAACCGAAGAAATATTTCCCATAAGAAATAATGTAAATACAATTAATCCATTCCAGATACCCAAAAGTACTACAGTGGACCCCTGCCTTTTTGCGGCCGTGACTTTCATGAAATCAGACTTTCAGGAACTTTTTTCGGCAAAATATAGCCTCACAGTTCATGATTAGCCTTGTGATTCGGCGACCATCTGGTACACATCGGAGCGGCATCCCAGTGTCAGCATGCACACGAAGCCAGTCTCCTGCACTATTCAGACTGTGTGCCATTGTTTATCAATGAGTGACCATCACCCCACAGGTTCATAGGATACATTTCATAATAATCCATTGTTTTTTGTGCTTGCAACTGTTAGATAAGCCACCATGGCCCAAAGAAAGCTAGTGCCAGGCCTTTGGTAAAGAAGGAAAGAAACACGATAGAATTCAAGAAAAAACTCGTAGCAAAGTACCAAATTGGACTAGGAAGAGAGAGGGGAGAATGTGCCTTCTTCGGTGATTCAGCGATTCTGCGATATGTACAATACAAAAGCAGCAGGTATCGATAATGGCTATAGCGCCAGCCAGCGATAGTGTAGCATTAACAGTGTAACAAGTAAGTTAAGTAATTAAGAGATAGAAAAAGACATGAAAGTAACTTTCCAATGTTGTTGGTGTATAGAGCCACTGAACATATGACGCCCTTTTATCTTCCACCACCCTAAACCTCTGCCAGCATCTCTTCCATCAAGCTAATTAAACTAACATCTCCACGGTAAGTGTAAATCTTTCTTATTTATAAATTCAGGTGTAAATATTTCTTATTCATAAATTCAACTGTAAATATTTTTTATTTATAAATTACGTACATTGTTCCAGTGTGAACAGTGTTGGTGGCTTCTGCTGCCGCCTCCACTACCACTAATATGTACGACTTCTCTCAGTGGCCCTTATAAGCCCAACACCACCACCACCTCCTCTCATATGTTATGACATATTTTATTCATTCTAGAGTATATATCATGTTTTTATGTTATTAATATTGTGCAAGAAAGGTATAAAATACCGACAATGTGAAAGTTAAGACACATGTGCAACATCTGGATATCTTTATTGTAGACGTTTCGCCATCCAGTGGCTTTATCAATACAGATTCTAGGACATAATAGAAGACTGTAGAACTATACACAAAAGGTGAGGTAATCAGTCCCTCAGCCTTGGAGTTAGTGTTCACAGCATCGTGGTGGAGGAGAATCTGGAGCAAAGGCAAGAAGACTGGCGGTTATATAGGCATCAGTGGATAAGGACGTGTAGCAGACGAGGGCATAGTCACAATTTCTACTTCCACTGGGGAATCCCGCCTACCAGTGACTATGCCCTCGCCTGCTACATATCCTTATCCACTGACGCCTATATAACCGCCAGTCTTCTTGCCTTTGCTCCAGATTCTCCTCCACCACAATGCTGTGAACACTAACTCCAAGGCTGAGGGACTGATTACCTCATCTTTTGTATATAGTTCTACTGTCTTATATTATGTCCTAGAATCTGTATTGATAAAGCCACTGGATGGCGAAACGTCTGCAATAAAGATATCCAGATGTTGCACATGTGTTATTAATATTGTTTATTATGTCATATTAGATGAATTGTGATGGATAAATAAACCGTAGAGATGATACTAGCGTCATATTGAAGCATTATAACTCTCCTCTCTCTCTCTCTCTCCCCTCCTGTCTGCCATACACCGACAAGAATCTTCAATAAAGGTGTGTTGTTAATGTTCATTTATCCATTTTATTAGTGCTTTATATTCATTTGTCATTGTTTTCTGTATGTATATCTATATTTAATCTTTAAAAAAAATATATTTTTTGTTAATACTTTTGGGGGTCTGAAACGGATTAATTGGATTTCCATTATTTCTCCTGGGAAAATGGTTTCACCAATCATGAATTTTGCCATTAAGGAGACTCTCTGGAACGGATTAATCACGAAACTTGGGGTCAACTGTATTAACAAAAAATACATTTTTTAAAGATTAACTATGGTTTTACATACAGAAAACAATGAGAACTAAATAAAATGACCAATGAAATGGATAAATGAACATTTAAATCATTATTACATACCTTTATTGAAGACTTGTTGGAGTATGGAAGACAGGGAGGAGAGGTTATCTCCATCACTACCACTACCACCATCACTACCACTACCACTACCACCATCACTACCTAAACACCAAACACTAACCACTACCACCATCCTACCACTACCACCATCACTACCACCCACCACCATCACTACCACTACCACCATCACTACCACTACCACCATCACTACCACTACCACCATCACTACCACTACCACCATCACTACCACTACCACCATCACTAAACCCCTACCACCATCACTACCACCAACCACCAGCATACCACCATCACTACCATACCACCTATCACTAGCACTACCACCATCACTTACCACTACCACCATCACACCACCACCACCATCACTACCACCACCACCATCACTACCACCACCACCATCACTACCACCACCACCATCACTACCACCACCACCATCACTACCACCACCACCATCACTACCACCACCACCATCACTACCACCACCACCACTCCACCACCACACCATCACTACCACCACCACCATCACATACCACCACCACCATCACTACCACCACCACCATCACTACCACCACCACCATCACTACCACCACCACCACCATACTACCACCACCACCATCACTACCACCACACACCATCACTACCACCACCACCATCACTACCACCACCACCATCACTACCACCACCACCATCACTACCACCATCACCATCACTACCACCATCACCATCACTACCACCATCACTACCACCACCACCATCACTACCACCACCACCATCACTACACACCACCACCACACCACCACCACCACCATCACCACCACTACCACCATCCTACCACCATCACTACCACCACTACCACCATCATTACCACCATCACTACATCACTTCCACCATCACTACCACTACCACCATCACTACCACTACCACACATACTACCACCACCCCACCATCACTACCACCACCACCACCACCATCACTACCACCACCACCATCACTACCACCACCACTACCACCATCACCACCACTACCACCATCCACCACCATACCCACCATCACTATCCACCATCACTACCACCACTCACTACCACTACCACCATCACCACAACTACCACCATCACCACAACTACCACCACCACTACCATCACCACTACCACCATCACCACCACTACCACCATCACCACTACCACCATCACCACTACCACCATCACCACTACCACCATCACACCACTACCACCATCACCACCACTACCACCATCACCACCACTACCACCATCACCACCACTACCACCATCACCACCACTACCACCATCACCACACCACCACTACCACCATCACCACCACCACCACTACCACCACTACCACCACTACCACCATCACCACCACTACCACCATCCACCACCACTACCACCATCACCACCACTACACACCTACACTCACCACCACTACCACCATCACCACCACTACCACCATCACCACCACTACCACCATCACCACCACTACCACCACCACTACCACCACCACTACCACCACCACTACCACCATCACCACCACCATCACCACCACTACCACCATCACTACCACCATCACCACCACTACCACCATCACTACCACCATCACCACCACTACCACCACCACTACCACCCTCTACCACAATCACTACCACCTTTGTTCTTAATCACTGAAGAAGGCACATTCTCCCCTCTCTTTTCCTCCTCCTCTGAAGCAATTTTCTCAGCTGTGGTCAGTTGCTGTTGCAGATGAAGGTCTTGCAGCTCTTCAGTGGTTAGCTTTTCCTTGTGGTCCTCTACCAACTCTTCCTCATCCTGGCCACTCACATCCAACCTCATGGACTTCCCCAAAGCCACAATAGTTTCCACAACAGGAGTGTTTTTCTCACTTTCTTTACCAAAGGGCTGGCACTAGGAACTTTCTTTGGGCCCATGGTAGCTTATTGCACAGTCACAATCAATAAACAAGCACAAAAATTGTGAAATGTTTTGGATGAATGCTCACTCAACCAGTGACAAAGCCAGACTGACAGTGTCCCTGGGTGGGTGGACGCGTCCAATATGACCGATTTCCAAATCACTGGCCAAAATCCAGGACAAAAATTTCAGCCAAAAAGCGGTCGATTTCTGATTCGGCTGATATCTGCAGCAGCCAAAATCCGGGGTTCCACTGTATATGAGGAAAAGCAGAGGGCTGAAGATACTGCCCTGTGGTATGCTCATGTGAATAGGTCTTGTTGATGAGGTTGTGTCCTTGATATTTTCTTTAACTTAGCCTTTTATGACAGAAGTCTTTTAAGCCTTTCTGGTTTTCCTCAGTTTTGAAATTTGGAATGTTTTGTAGTTACTTAAACAGTGACTACTTTTGTAAGGCTATTTTCTTATTTTAATTATTGCAACACTTATAGGTACAAAGTTGTGCTCGTGGCTTTATGGATAACTACTTATTCCTTGTAGTTGGCACTATTGGTGCAGCAAATAAAGATGTTCAGCAAGAAATTGTACAAATAGACAAGTTCAATAAAAGGGAGAAACTTGTAGAATACATTCATTCAAAATGCGGTAAGTTAATTAAAATTTTATGTTTGGGTATTCGTATTATTTTTGTTCTTTTACTATATGCTCTAACTGTTTGTACTGAGCACCTTGCAAAAGCAGTGATAAGTGTGATGGGGGGGAAAGTGTTAATGATGATAAAGAATTTTTTTTTTTGGGATTTTCTTTTTTTTTTTGGGTCACCCCCCCGGGTGGGGCGACCGACTTGTTGAAAAAAAAAAATCGTTTTTCTACTCAATGGCATATTAATGTTTTCACTTGGGCGAAAGGTATATTTTGTTCATCATTAGATATGGCACATTTCATTATAACACAGCACCCAAATTTTAATGAATGAGGTACTGAGTTCGATTTGCGTTACAGTAGTTAACCTGGGGTAGGTTGGAAAACAGCACCACCCAGGGAGGACTACCACCCTGCCAAAAAAATGTATTTTGTTTTACGTGATGGAATTCGGTGTCTTTATTTTTTTCTGTCTCGTAAACATGCAGAAACTTGGGGTCATCTTGCTACTTCTATCAACTTGTCACTCTACACTTTTTTGAAAAGTAATTAGGTGTTTAAGAGGGTTGGAAAGTTTAAAAATGCATTTATTAGAAGTGGGGCAAATTTGGGGTTATGGGAGGGGGGGGCGAGGAAAAGAGGAGTGTGGGGAATGATAAAGTAAAAGGTGTGAAAAAAGAAAAAAGGTACTTATGAGGGGTTTTTAAAAAAGGAATTTTTATAAAAAGGCAGGGGTATATGGAGAGTAAAAAAAAGGGGTTGAGAGAGGCAAAAGGAAGCGATGAGAGAGTGGGAAGGCACTGTCAAAAAATTTTAATGAAAATAAGAAAAAATTTTTGGGTGAAAAAAACAATTAAAGAAAGCCTAGGGAAAGTATGGATTTGTCAGTTAAAAAAAAAGGGGGGGAGTTAGTAGAGGGGGAGATGGAGGATTATAAGGCGAGAATATTTTGGGACCTTTTAAATTTAAGGAAAAACAAGGAAAAAAATTTCCGCCGGTCAGGGAGGTATACCAATTTAGGATTGAAAAAGGCAGATGAAAGGTTTTTGTGGAGGTACGGGGGGCATTACGAAAATAAAAGGGGGGGTAAAGCAGCGGGAATGAGGGACATGACGAAAATTAAAAGGGGGGGGGTATAGTGTTGGAGTGGTTGGTAATTTTTTTAATAAATGTTGAAAGGGGGGAAGGTCCCTAGGGATTGGCGGAGAGCAGTATAGTCCCTTTATATAAAGGGAAAGGGGCAAAAAGCTGAAAAAATTTAAGAGGAATAAGTTTCTGGTATACCAGGAAAATGTACGGTGGGTTATATTAAAAAGAATTAGAGGAAAGACAGAATGTAGGTTTGCGGTGAGCAAGGGGGTTTCAGAGGGGGTAGGGGTTGAATAAAGTGTTTCTTTTAAGCATATATGTGAACAGTTTTTAGATAAAGGTAGGGAAGTTTTTATTGCTTTAGGTTTTAGAAAAGGCATATAAGTGGATAGGGGAGCAATGGGGAGTTTTTTTGCAAGTATATGGAATGGGGTAATTTTTAAAATGCGAAAGATTTTTTTATGGGGAAAGTGAGGCTCAGGTTAGGGTGTGTAGAAGAGGGGGAAATACTTCCCTGTAAAAGAGGTCTTAGACGGGAGTGTAATTTCACCATGGTGTTTAAAAAAATTTTATAGAGGGGTTGAAAGGAAGTAAATGCTAGGGTTCGGGAGGGGGGGGGGATTAAATTTTGGGAATAAAATTTCAAAAGGGGAATTGACAGTTACTTTTTTGCTGAAAACGGGTTTTTATGGAGATTCTAAAGAAAAAATGGAAATTAGTGGATGAGTTTGGGAAGGGTGTGTAAGGTAAAAAGTTAAAAGTGAACATAAAAAAAGAGAAAGGGTGAGGGTGTCAAATGATTAGATAAAAAAAAATTGGGTATCAAATTGGGGGAGGGGGGATTTTGGAAGAAGTGAATTTTTTTCAGATACTTGGGATTTGACGTGTGGCAGATGGATTTTAAAGGAGGTTAAACCAAAAATTTGAAAAGTAAAAAGGCGAGGGGTGCGTTGAGGTTTATGGGAACAAAAAATTTTATCATGGGGGCAAGAAAGAATGAAGAAAGTATATAACCAACTTTTATATGGGGGACCTTGGTTGTAAATGGCAGGGGAGGCTTTTAAAGGGCCGGTGGGATGCCGTCAAGGGAAATGTTGTGTGAAAATATTAGCGAAAATTTTGGATTTGGGGAAATTAAACCCACACCTTTCTCCTAAAGTATTAAATGGCTGAAAGGGTTGTTGAGGGTTTGGTCATTTAAGAGAATGGATTAAAGTAGAATGACATGGAATGTTAAATCTGTAGGGAAGGAAGGGGGGGGTAGGGGTCGTCCCAAAAAGGTTGGAGGGGGGGTAAATAAATTTTTTGTGGGCAAGTGGTTGGACTTCCAAAAAGCAGCGTGACGTGTAGATAGGAGTGAAGGAGACTTGGGTTTTTGGGCCCTGATGAGTGTTGGGTGTGAGCAGGGAAATTTTCGGAAAACCCGGGTTTTTTTTAAAATTAGCCAGACTTGTCCTAAAAAGGGAAAGTACTGCCTGCATTTTAAAGGAGGGGTTTTGGGATATTGGCATTTGGAGGAATATGTTTTATTCTTTATACTATTTTCCCTCAAACTATGTATTCGGGGCACCTCTGCAAAAACAGTGTTTAGAAAGGTGGGTGAAAGTGTTGAATGTGAGAAAGATTTTCTTTTTGGGGATTTTCTTTCTTTTGGGTCCCCTGCCTTGGTGGGAGAGGGCCGCTTTTTAAAAAAAAAAAAATTATACTTCACTTATTCTTAATTTCATAATTGTTAATCATAAGTTTATTTTTTGCGGTGAAAAAATTTTAGGTTTGTGGGAAAAACTGCAAGCAATTTTATTGGGATATTTAATTACACAAGGTATAAATGCTCAACATTCATGGTGCAGTACCAGGAAAAAGGGTGAGGAAGCCTTGCAGCTTTTAAAAGGGATTAACACTGTTCTTGGGGCAAAAAAACTAGCTCCCCCGGGGCTGGGGAGTTTTCATTTTTTCATGCTGTTAAAGTGTTTTAAAATTTTGGGGCTGGTTTTATATAATTTTCCCAATTTATAGCAACCACTTTTAAAAAAATTCCCAGTTTATGATCTGTAAAAAAAGATGACTTATGAAGGTCCATTAAGGAAAATCACTATAGGTAGGAAGACAAGCACTCAAAACAAGAAAAGCCGGGGAAATAGTAGTGTTATTAAATCGTTGTGCCCAAATCCTTGTTCTGGTTTCACGTACCTTTAAAAGGCAGGAGAAAATCGGGGGCTGGAAAAATACTAAATTACTGCAACATAGTTTAAATAAAATATCTTGGAAAACCACGGGGAAGGCCCAGAGCACAAAAAAGCATGCAAGAAAAGAGAAGGAGAGATTTTGGGATAATATATACTGTAAATTACCACGGGTAGTAGGTTTGGAAAACCGAAAACCACCCGGGGAGGATTTCCGTCCTGCCAATGAGTGTAAAACAAAAGCCTGTAATTTTTTTCCTGAGGTAGGTTTGCTGGTGTCTTTTGCGTCTCATAAATAGAAAGATTCAGGCATGCTTGCAACTTCTCTTACATTTGGGTCCACCACTACTTGTACACTTTATTTATACAATCATCTGATTTTTTTTGTTTTTATTTTATAGTTCTGGTTTATTTTTTTTCCTTTATATCCGGGGGAAGGGAAAAAAATTTTTTCCTCCGAAAGCCATGGTGTTGTAAAATCAACTAAATCCGGGAACAATGGCTAGAAAACCCTTTTCCTGTAAAGTTACTAAAAAGAAAAGAAAAAAAATTGTCTGGGAAGTCGTGCGTGGATGTTGTGCAAATGAAAAGAAAGGTGTTTGTGGATGTTATAAATGAGAAAAAACGGATGTCCGGCTTTAAGTGAAAAAAGCTGAAGGGGAGGGGAGAGTTTCAAGGGAAAGGGGAAATAAAGGGGATTAGGCGGGGTTTCAAATAGAGTTGGCTAAAAAAGGGAGTAGCAATAATGTTAAAGGATAACTATGGCAGGAAAAGAGGGACTAAAATGTAAAAATTTCAAGATTAGTGGGTAAAAAAAAGTTGGATGTGAAAAGGGGTTTTTAAAGAAAGGGTGTAGCACCGGAAAGAGAGAAGGTAGAGGAAGAGAGAGAGTTTCGGGGGAGATGTTGAGTGAATGCGGGGGAGTTTTGAATAAATTGAGAGAAGGGTGGTTGGGTTTTCAATGCTAAAGGGGTAAAAAGTTATGGAGGGAGTAGTGGGAAATTTTTGGGGTGTCAGGGGTAAATGTAAAGGGGACCTTAATTGAGCTATGTGTAAAAGAAATTTGGTAAAAGAAATCAATTTATGAAAAAAGGAAAAATAAATAAAAAGGTTGATTACACGTAATGAAGTATTTTGTTAGATTATGATTGGGGAAAAAAATTGGATGGGTGGCCCCCGGTGTACATTTTTAATAGAGGGGCAAATGATATATCGGATCTTTATTTTTGAGCCAGTTAGAGAAAAGAGGTGATGGGAAAAGAGGAATGGCAACAACAAGAAGAAAAAAGTAAAAGTGTCAAACTATGGGAGGAGGAAGTGGGGGCGAGAAAAAAGGACTATTGGTGTCTACTTTTTTTTTCTTGCCTTTTTCCCTTCCTTTTCAATACTTTGGAAAACTGGTCATCTTTTTTCTGCAGACTTAGGGGCACAAAAAAGTGTTGGGTTTGCCGACACTAAAAATGTTTTTTTTCTGTCCGTCAAATCATACCATCCTTTTGAGGGGTCTTCTGCTAAAACTTTTCCTTCCCCTATTCCAACTCAAAACATCGCCGTTTTGTTGAATCCTTCTTATACAAAACTTTCCTTGTAGAACCTTTCCCCGGGTTGTCTCTGTAGTGCCTTCCTTCCCACTCTTGTAAAATGCTCCAAACTAAAAAAACCCCCCGTGACTTAACCCTGATCCTCATTTTTTTCTTCTTTTTTTTTTTCTTCCTCCCCCTTCCCCTTTCC